ATGCCATGTTCAACATGGTGCTAGACATGGGTGGAAAAACAGCAGATATTTTTCCAAGCAGGAGGCATGAGATTGCTAAAATCTTCAGCCTCCACCACAACATTAATTAGTGTGTTTCACCAAGCAAGGCTGTAAGATTTTGTAAATGAAATTCTAGAAGGGGCATCAAGCTAGAACAGGATATGGAAGCCAAATGGAAAACATGAACCAATAAAAGAAAAAAGCAAAACTAGCTAGAAGTCAAAGTTTAGTCTTTGAAGTCAGTTCAAGTCCTGCGTGCCTTAATTCTGATGTAAGTTTAAAATGGTGGGTACAAACAAGAACTCAGAAACAGCTTTTGTAACTTTTGGACCAACTGCACATGGATCCATTTGTTGATGGCTATAATGATTACATAGTGGTCTTTGCTGAATTACATCTGAATTAAAGCTCTCGTTCTTCTTAAGCTAAAATATAGTTAAGAGTTATCAACAAGAATAGCCATCTTCCAAACACATATACTGCTCCAACACACTTATATTTTTACACAGTACATTACATTTTGTTAATATATCACATTATTTGCCTTAACAGCAGTAATGCATAAGCTCTTGCACGCTAGCACATTCTTCCTGTATGACAATGTGTTTGTTCCTTGTTTGTCCTGTCATTTGCCTCATTTCACATTCTAGTTAATGAGATGATTGCTTTTCTATGTGCAAGAGTATTTTTCTTAGAAGAGATAATTCTCTTGATTTGAAAACAATTATATTTCTGGCAGAATGGGAACGTCAAACACATATGGTATAAGGGGACCATGCCCATAACAGTCTTAATGGGCAAAAAAATTTTTCAGTTAAAATCACAATCCATTAACTGCATTCTTCTTGTCTGCTGACAAGCCTTACAAATGAATAATACACAAAATGAAAAAAATGCACACTAACATTTTGCAACAATCCATTTAAAATCCTCAGACGGAATAAATGTTATCACAGTTAGAGTGTTTTTCATAAGAACCAAATGAATTATTTCTTAAAAGAAATCTATACTATTTCTTCTATATCTACTTTTAATAATAAATATAAAAAGTTCAATAGGTAAGTGTTACTTTAACTTAAATATAATGGGCTTATATTTATTTATAGAGTGAGTGATGGAGGAAGGCACAGAAAGGAGGCATCACAAGATTGACTCACACAGGCAGTTGGGAATAGTAGAGATTAGCATAGCTGTTGACCCAGCTGGCTATTGGAAACAAGATCTTTAGGCACCAATGCCTAGATCACAAAGCATAAAATCTAACCAGGTAGCAGACCGGTATCTATCACAGACCCAAAAGGTGAAAGGTAAAGATATGGAGATGGAGCCCATTGTGGGATCTCCTGTGCCTTTCAGATTTTATTCAAAGTCAACAACAAACCTAGACACACAAGGAGTGGGCCCCTCCCAAAGAGAAGATGTGTATACCTGGATGGGGCAGCAGTCCTCTGCCCACCTGTGCCTATGCAGGTGCTCCTTTCCACACATTCTCCTCCTCTGCAGGGCAGCAGCCTTCAGCTTGCCCGTGACCCACACCATGCTAGGACTTTACTGAGCTCCCTCAGCAGAGACCATTCTCCTGAAACCATGCAGGCCTCTCAGCAAGCTGGTCCCTTTCAGGGCAGTTCTTCCTGCCCACTTGTGCCTATGCAAGTGTCCTTTACTCTTCTGTCCTCTGCCCTAATAAACCTGCTCTTTAAACATAATTTAACATCTCTGTCTCCTGGAGAAACTAGCCTAGGAACTCACCACACGTGCCACTGGTGAAACTATTCCCAGAGTGAACCCAAGGGCCCCGCACTAAGTCCAAAAAAATGACATCAGTGAGTACATGAATAATTAATAACTAAGGGTTCCCAACCAAGAGTTACAATTATGTAGGAATGAGATGTGCCATATCTACTGTGAAGAATAGCACAGTGACAACACTACCACATGTAGGAGAAACTAGTTCACAGGAAGAACTAGCCAGGAACATGATTTTCTGGTAGACCATTAAAAATTGGAGCCACATTAAACTGTAGTCTAATAAATGTGAAAGATGTGCATACACATGAAAAAGGTAAAAAAAAGTAATTTTCAGGTATATCACATGACAGAAATATAATATGAATTAGGGTATGACTTTAATAGTATATCTGTTTAGTCAAATAATAATATACACAATCTGAATCTGATCCAACTGACCAAATTGCTTTTGGATTATTTTACTATAGTATTTATTTTTAAATACACTTATTCACACCCAAAAAATAATGTAAAAAAATTATGAGCTCAATTTCCCTATGTTTGAAAGTAGATATAAATTGACATAGTATACATAATAATTTGTGTTTTTAAAACCTAAAACTTTTCCAAAATTAAGTTGTCTTTATGAAACTCAAAACCATGAAGCACATCAGATGCAAACCTATTATACAATTAGATTCTCTTTATTTGAATAAACTCAAATCATATTTCAGGGCATTTTAAAAATACCTTTAAAATGGTATCTGTTACATTAAATACAAGTAAAGAATTTTAAGTTTTATTATTTCACAAACATTGGCTGCACATTTCCTATAGACATACTCCAAGATGATATAAAGAAGAAAAAGTATGCAAGTGGACACAATAAATTTGTTCTCCAAAACAAATATATCCTCATGAGTTAGGATGCACTATGAGAGTATTATTGAACAAGCAAGAGTGATACTATTTTTAAAAAATTTGTATGCTATGGAATTAGAATTTAACTGGAGATCTGCAATTGGTGATTTAAAAAAAAAAACATAAAAATGTTCTAAAGTCTAAAGCAGTGGTTCTCAACTAAGGACGATTTGGCTATCTGGAGATATGTTGGACTGTCACAACTGGGGAGGTGTAACTAACATAGATGGTCAAGGTCACAGAGGTCACATCCTAAATTATATAGGACAGCCCTCAACAACAAAGGGTGCAATAATGTCAAGTTTAAGAATTTCATGTCTAAAATGATATACATGGTTTAATAAGTAATAATTTCTTCTTTGAAAGATATTTTCATAAATATGAAAAATTATGTAGATAGAGCAAAGATCATATACTTTACATAAAATTGCAATTGTATTCATAATTATAGAAATATTAACAGCAAATTTTTATGAACAGCATTATAACAAACTTTCTTACCTAAGATTTTTACCTTCCTTTGATTTTTACAGTGGAAATATTTCCCTCATTTTTCATCAAATATTTAATGAATGTTTATTTCCCAGATATAAGGTACTAGAATAAAAATTCAAATAACAGCCCTGTTGGGGAAGCAGACTTGGGTAGTGCTATTACAGAGTCATGAGCAAGTGTAGGAGCAGGACAGGAGAGGGACTAACTTCTGTAGTTGTTTGGGGGACCTGGATAGGAGGAGGACATCAAAGGCAGCTTCCCAGAGAAACACCTGCTTGTTCTGAATGTTTACATCAAAAGACAGTGGGGCCTTATGTATGGGACGCTAAATAAGGAACCTCTCTTTTCTCAGGAACAGGCTTACCAATCATCTCCATGAAGGATGTAGCCAAGGGATTCTCCTAAGAAGGTATGCATTTCAGGAAGATCATTCTGAGAACAAATGGAGGGCGGCCAGGCAGAAGAGATACTGATTAAGACTCAGATCTAAAGTGCTAAGAATGTGGAATAAGGCATACATCAAATTAGAGGCTGGAAAAGGAGGACATTTACTGAAGAGCTGGTAAAAAAGAATGTCAGAAGCTATTTCCTGGGCACATAAGTAGGAAATTGCCTCTAGTGGCAAAAATTGAGATTAACCTCTGCAGTGGCCTCTTTGAGGGTAGACCAAAAATATGTAACTATTTATACTTTAAAACCTGTCATCATGTGAATATGTAAAACAATAAAATGTAGACCAACTATTTTTTCTTAATTTTATCTTAAGAATAAAAATGGCTGCAGAATACTTTAAAAAAGAAACAGTCAAATTTCAGGACCCTCACATCACGTGTACAAAGCCTAAAAGTTACCAGCATCACCCTCCTCACTGCAAGAAAAAATTGGAAATAAAAAAGCTCTTGGACTTACCAAAGAACTATGATAACAGGGCAAATGGATGTCCCTAAAACTGGAGAGACAGGCAGATACAGAAACGCACAGCTTATCGGAGATGAAGCTCAGGAGCAGACGTAGTTCAGAGAGAAAAGCCAGCAGCTGGGGCAAATTTCAATTCAGTAGGAATACTTCAAACTGTAACTGACAATAGCTGGAGGCTCAGTATAGACAGAAGAGTTTGAAAGTTAAAAATCCAAGGGAACCCACTGTTATCCATGAACCCCCTCTCCTTCCCCGCTCCCCCCCTCCCAACCTTGTACTTCTAAAAGCTCCACCGGGTTCACACTTGAAGATTAGAGAAAAATCCTTTGCTCTTTCTGGCAAAAGAAAAGGTAAAGAAGCCATAGTGAAACACCCAGAGCTCTCTGTGCTTCCTACCAAGGTCTGCCTTCAAGGGTAACTATTTTACTGTAGCCTAATAGACCAGAGCTCTACCAAAGCCTATGACCAGGGGGAAGGAAAATACCCAACTCAGGCTTACTGAGAGACTGAGATCTAACCATAGATTCAAGGAGGCTTTCTTCCTAACACTGTACCACCACATCAACAGTGCTTCGATATCATAATAGGGATTACAGCTAAAAGAACTATAAGCCTCAGACCATATTAAGGATTCTCTAGGAAAATCCAAAATAACAGGGAATAGAAACAACAAAAAAGAATGTCAGTCAGTAGCACCACTGCTACAACAAACAATGAATATAGGCTATTCCCACCAGAGAAGCAGAAATTCTAACACTTAGAAGCCTATCTACTTCAATTCCTTTTATCTGGTGGATCATGTCTTGCCTTCAATGAAAAATATGAAAGGAAGACACTTCCCCAGTGCTCTGCTATCCTCAGAGCTAAAGGAACCATATATTGAAGCAGCGGTTCTCAAATTTCAAGAGGCATAAAACTTCATTTGTGACATTTATGGCAATGCAGATCCTGGGTGCCCTCCTGGAAGTCCTTTTATATTTTTTGGTCAGTTTATTGCTAGGAATATTAGCTCCCTAATCACCTGCTGAATATATCTTCTAAACAAATACAGTAAAGCTCAAGGAATATTTGTTAAAAGATTGTCCGGGAAGCAAAACATTACACTTTTTTAAGGTCTGTAGTAAGCAATGAGTCTTCTAACCTAGATAGAAGACATTTTATTCTAAGGATTTCTAAAGACTCTTATAGTCATTTATGTCATGTGTACAGAATAGCTGTAATTTTAAAGCTGCAGGGAGAAAACAAGCCAAACTATATACTCTAATGCAGACCATCCAAAAAAACCACTTGAGCTTCCAGGTCATTTAAAGTTGGTTCAAAGACCTCCTGCAAAAAAAAAAAAAAAAGTTGAAAATATAAGCAGCTATAGAAAATATAAATCTCAGACAAACTTATACAGAGTTGTACTGAGAATCAAAAAAGTTCACAGATATGCTAGTGTAGCTAGTGTAGTCTAAATGTTGGGGGTACTGTTAGGGTGATCTAAGGGTGGAGGAGCCAGAGAAGGGTGGATGGTCTAGGATCAACCAGAAGAGACAAAAGAAAGCTGAACAGGCTAAGAAGATAAAGACCTGTTCATCAAACCCTCCTATGAACCAGAAAACTAGGGATTTTTAGAAAACAAAGGTAGGCTGAAGATTGAAGATGAAAACTGACTTTTACTGGGTTCTTCAAGTATTGGGCCTATGGGTCACATTTGCACCACACCATGCTGCTATGCTACTCTGCAAGGGCCCCATCAGACTCCAACATTAGTATCCAGTCCAGATACTCATCTCGCCAGTATCTATCTCAGAAGAAGAGCCTGGCTTGATTGCAAGTTCCTTCTTATATTTCCAACTTGGGGAAACAGACCTTGGAAAAACTCAGCAGGAAAACAACTTTGAGAAACTGAGCTTGAGCCCATTTTCCATATATGGCCTTTGTAGAAGAGAAGACTACAGAATAAATAGAAGTGATCCAAAAGCAGTGCAGAGTCTTCTCTTTCAGAGAGTTGTGCCAGTCTGAGAGAGGCAAGGTGCACCTACTCATCAGTTTGTTAGTGGGATGTATACACGTAGGTATGTTTGTGTGCATGTGGGAGGGTATTCACATGCATGAGCGTGTGTTAGAGGGACTTGTGGTGGAACTGACCGACTCACCTTGTACCTGTCTGCAGGGGGTATAAATTCACTGAGTTGTGTCACTCTGGAAAGGAGATGAAGTATTAAGATAATGTCACAGTCTTGCCTCCTCAGCAGAGAAGAAAAACAGACAGGAGACACACACACATGTACACACGTGTGCACACACGACACACATGCACACACACAAACAATCCTCCTGACTTTGAGGTTGGAGCAGTTGGGAGCAGTCACTCTTCATCTCCTCCTGCCCTCTGTGGTGGGAATGGCCAGGTGAGAGGCAGAACTTTCACCTTAAGGAAGAAACAACTGCAGTGAGACTACCACTAGAGGCTTACTCCGGATGTAATAGGAAGATAATCTTTTTCAAGAAATAGCTGAATCAATAGCTAAATTTGTAAAAGATGCTGTGGTTGCACAAAAATAAGAGAAACAAGGAAAACAATGAAGTGGTCATTGGCAAAGTCCTCTAAAATTAGTCAGTGGTGGAAGATAACAAAGCAACCCGAAGCAAAAATTACCTGCAAACAATCTCTTCTCCAGTTCTTCTTGAATTTTAAGAAGCAACCTTTCCTGTTCTAAGGCCTCTATGTACTTTGAATAACACCAGGTTGGCTAGAAAAGCAATTTTCAAAATTAATTTTGGAAATAAACTGAAGATCAGCCCCTTTTATTTAAACCTTTTGATAAAGTGCCACATTTATTTAAAAAAATGCACATATCAAATTTATATGTATGTGAATTTTCACAAATAGAACTTGCACATTTAATATATAAAAAGTACAACACACTGAGCTATGTCACTTCACTTTAATATGAGTATGATGATGTAAAGATATTTTTTATAACCTTGATTGAAATTTTTTTATTTTATCTTTTATTTTACACACACACACACATTAACATCATTCTTCATTTTGTACATATTTTCATCTCAGTTGTAGTCCCTGTGGGCTTCCCACTACCAATTCACCCGTGTACCATCCATCACAGTCCCTTGTACTCTCCCGCCCCAATTCTGTTGATCAAAATTTTTTCACTGGAGGGTGATGATGTATTATTCCTCAGTGAACCAATGCTGCAAAAGTTTTATATAGGTTTATTTTCAAATGGCATTATTAGGTAAAATACACTTTTAGCTATATATTTTTCAATATTTGCCTCCACATAATTGGACATTTCTCTCAATAATAGCTTCACAGACTAGACATTATCCAGTTCTTGACAGTTATTCAGTCAATATTTTTAAGAAAGATCCAGGTTTTGTTTGGGGGTACCGTTTTGCACCTGGATTAATTATAGTTTTTCAGTGTTTAAAATATGAAACAAATATAGTCATATATACATAAATACAGAAAATCCATACTTGAAAAATGGCAAAGTATTTTTTTACCAATTGTTAAAGTAATTCAACATGTGTAAATTTGTTAATAATAGTAACTACAATAATAATTTATATTTACAAAATGCCTTTAGTTTTCCAAAACTCTAGTTTCTTACAAAAATTTGGAGATAGGTCAGAAGGGCATCATCCTTACACCATCATCATCATCATACCTCTTTTCTTTAATGGATAATGAAACAGACTCAAAGGAGATTAAGATTTTTATTCAAGCCTGAAGTTAAAATTGACTTGTAAGTGACAGTCAAAATTAGAAGCCTGGTGTCTCTAATTCTATTACCCTCTGTATTTTTACACCATGCTTCTGAAATTTAATGTTAATCATATGCAAATGAAAATATTTTCAAATGGCATTATTAGGTAAAATACACTTTCAGCTACATATTTTTCAATATTTGGCTCCACATAATTGCACATTTCTCTCAATAATAGCTTCATAGACTATACATTACCTTAGCTAGGTAGCTGACCTGGTTTGACATTCTCAGTATTACTAAGAATATTGACGCCTCTATAGAGGAAGAATTACCTCTGACATTTTTCTTGCTTACCTGTCGGCCATATGGTTGCAGGCCTAAGACTGTTTCACTGCCTAAGGGGCCTGTTTTCATAGCAGATCCTGAAGTGCTTACATATTGTTTGGCTCCATCCTGTAATTATATTAAATTAAATTATTCCAAAAGGGAATAATGCTATATATTATATAAACTTTCAGTTAAGGATAACATAATATGAAAAAAGATTTTGTGGTGAGCACTACATTTCAGATTTCATCAGGTCAACTTCATTAATTTAACATAATCTATTGCCTTGATCTTAAGTGTTCTTATATTAATATAAAGATATTAAAAATAAATGAAATTATGAAATAGAATGTTAAAGTCACCCCCAATTCTAGCATCTAAGAAAAACAACTGGGGCCTCCTGGTGGTACAAAGGGTTTCATCTCAGCACGATGAAGCTCTCCACAGCCACTAAAGCATGAGCTGGATCCCCAGCGAGGGAGCTGACCCACACAACACAGCGGGCCTCTCCTGTGTTGCCTGCTGCTCCCCTCAGCAGTGTGTTTCAGTCAATCTGCCTGTTCTGCTCCCCATTCTGTCCCTGGTGAATCCTCTCACACACAGCCCTTGCCCCCCACCCTTCTGGAATAAATAAATCAATCTTAAAAATAAAATTGCAGACATTTTTACAAATATCCACCAAACTTTTCACTAAGGAAATAAATGTGTAGATGAAATTTGTAATGTTTTTATATTTAAGTAAAAATTTTATGTAAGAAGAATCACACTATTACAGGCTTCCTTAAAATATACTTTTCTAGCCCTCCCTGGTGGCCAACAGGTTAGGACGCAGCACTGCAAGCTGGTGGCAGCTGCTTCAGTGCAAGTTTGATCCCCAGCCCCAGAGGTGACCCACATGGCCTGGCAGACCTCTCCTGACCCACCCGCTGCTCCCCTCAGCAGTGTACTTCATCGTTCTGCTCCCCACTCTGTCTCTGGTGAAGCCTTTCGCCATCCCTGCACCTCTGGCTTGTACCTCATTTCTGTATGAATAAATAAATAAATCTTAAAAAAAATATGCTTTTCATGCAAAATGTTGTGGAAATGTTTATATGTGAATAAATGTAGACTTTAAAGAGCAGGGCACCATCACTATTGTGCAGTCACCACAACGCATCATTTTCATAGGATGAATGATCTTATACACTCAAATATTTTATTGAGTGATAAAAGAACAGGTGAGTAATATTCTGGTAAAAGGATGTAAAACTACTAATGCTTGCTATTAATTTAGGTCATTTATATTTTTTCCCAATTATATCCTTTGGAATAAATTTCTAAAAGTAGCTTTGCTGGAGTAAAAAGAATGGAGATTCTAAATGATACATGTTGTCAAACACCTTTCAGAAACAAAAGTACCATTTTACACTTTTACCAACGATGAATGAGTTTATGGCCTCTTCGTATACTCACCAAAAGAGTATTCTCTTTTGCCAGTCTGCATGTTTCAGATAGCACTGAGACTGAACATTTTTTAATGATTTTAATAAACTGTATTTCTTTCATAAATTGCTTGCCAAAATCCATTTTTCTGTTAAAAATATTTATCTTTTTATGATGTATTTTTATGAACACCATACACTTTTGTTTCCCAACTTAATCTTTAATCTTGTTTATTTTTGTGCCACTTAAAACTTAAAAATTTTTATTTGGCTAAATCACTCTGACCCTGTTAATGAATTTGCCACTATTGACTTTAATCAAATGACATTAAACTAGATCAAAATGTTTCAATAGACTTCTTTTTCCTATCTAACTTCCTACAGATTACACTCTCTCTTTGATTCCTTTATGAGATTAAAAATATAGGCTTGGATATTAATTATTTTGTTATAAATGAAAATTATTGTGTCATTATTAAGATAATAACTAACATTTACTTATGACAGGCACTGTATTATGCATCTTATTCAATCCTGCCTTATGTAAGTTCTATTATTATATCCATTTTACTGAAAAGAATGAATTTTTAGAAATGAAATGGCTTGTCTAAGATATCAGAACTAGTCAATAGTAAGGATAGGCAATCTGACTTCAATAGTAAGGATAAGCAATCTGACTCCAAAAACTGTACTCCTGTCACTTGCTATTAGTACCCAGATCAAATGATACCTTACAACAGTACAGAAGAACAGCTTACATGATCTTTTTTAGCATAATCTTCCATATGTATCAATGCAATCAATCTCTCTGAAATCACGTCAGATTAATAAATGTTATTCTACTTAATAGATGAAATTGAGGTTAAGAATAGTAGAATTATGCCCACAGTAAACCAGAAAATCCAGTGATTTACACAGTAATTTTTTCAGTGTATATATTTTTATTCTATTAAAAGGAATGAGTCTCTTATACTTGTTTTTTCCTATATGTCCATATATGTTTTCATTGACAACAAGCTTTTGGAACAAACATCAGACATGATCTTTCTACTGTACTGGTCTTTCTTACCTTACATTTTCCATGTTAAATATGAAAGGACTGCGTGAAATCTGCAGTTACTAATAGGTAACACTGTATGTTTATTACACACAATAAGAGTAATCATAAGTAGACCTCCATTTTTTGTTTTTTAGGAGTATACTCCTAATATATCTCTATGTAATATAATTGCTTCTATCCTTTTGCAAATTTTTCAATTTAACATTGTACTCCTGACTTTTATCCATTTTTATTGTTGTGGTCATTACTTATTTTTTATCATAGCACACTATTTTACTGTATGAATTTACTTATCCAGTCTCCTGTTAATAGACATTTGGGTAGTTTCCTGTTTTTTGTTACTGAAAATGTTTGTCATAAATCATTTTCATGTCTCCTGACATTTATGTAAATGAATTGCTCTAGGGTATATGTATATGCAAGTCGATTTGCTAGGATGCTTACTAAGTTGAAGGTATCTATTACTTTGCCAAGAAGCTATCAATATTTTGCCACATTCTGTTATTGATGGTTGAGAACACAGAAAGACATTTAGAAATGAAAAGAGAAGTGGCAGGTGATGTCTATATAAAACCATTAGAAGAATAAAAAGAGAGAACTCTTAACATTTTAGTTGAGGCAGTAATCTCTAAGATCCAATCATGAATCAGGAAATCTGATTTAGGAGCTCCAAATGAATTCAACATTCCTCAAAAAAACTTGCATATATGAAATAATACTACAAATCAGAAATATGGAAACAATAGGAACAAAAGCTTACAGTAAGGTAAAGAACATTACTTGGGAAGAGTTCCCCTTTTTCATTCAGAGAAAATCAATAATGGGAGAGGGGTAAACTGGACAATTTTTGAGTCATACTTACAAATTTCACAATGTTTCATTGAGTCATTTTAATAGTAAAACTCCTACCTCTATACAGAATATCTTTTTTATTTATTCATTCATTCCTAATATTTCAGCAAATAATGATCAGTAACTGAGCATGTGTTATAAACCATTATTCATATCTGTAAGACAGATGAGTAAGACAAATACTATCTCGAGGATCTTGGTCCAGTGAAGACAGCATGTAAAAATTCATTTACAAGACAATATATGGTCTCCAACTAGGCAGGATCACTAGTAAAGAGAATGTGGATTGCTTAGGCCAACTTGTAGGGAAGCTTTCACACGAAAGAGAGAGCATTTGAGATGAATTTTGAGGAATTCAAACCAAGTTTAAAACCTCTGACTGGAGGCTGTAAAGCAACTAAAATCTGTGTTCAGTAACTTCTCTACATTTTTCCCCGACCAAATTCTATAAATTCACCCATACTCCCATAACTTTTAAAGGTCTGCTTAAACCAAAATGAATCTTGACTCACCTTTGCATGTTTTTCATCCTCTGTGACTGCCAATTTTTTTTTCTGCTTATTATACTCTTGTCTTCTCTCTAAAACACTCATAATTTTTTCATCAGTTAAGTTCTTCCTAAACTCACAAAACTGAGGCCAATATTTAAACAGAACACCAAAAATTGTCATCTGTATGGAAAAAAAACAAAGCATGTCTCATATTACAAATGTACCAATTTAAACTAATTCACCATAATAATGGATTACATTCTATCTTTAATATAGAGCATGTTTCCTCCAACTTATTGTCTCCAGACATCTTGGTATAGTTTAGCTCAGCACATGCTTATCATCAATGTGTTTTACTACCAATGAGAAACCTTTCTTTAAAGAAGAAAACACTTAAATATACTTAAAAGTCACTTTCTACTTTATGTTTCCCTAACCAATTGATTGTATTAATAAAGAGTCCATTAGGTCTTTTTAAATAAGAAATTTATGTTTTCTTTTAAAACATATACTAGTCGATCTGCCACATACTCTACTGTTTTATGCAAGTATTCCAAATATTCAGTTCATCAAGGGGAACTCCTCTCTTCTGTGCCTCCCCACCCCCTTCTCTTTCTTTTAGAGAAAGGAAATACCATTTTGCCTCTGGAAAAGCTCTTAAACAAAGCTGCAGATCTAAGAATAAATCTTGAGTAACTTTTAAATGATATAATCTCTCTTTTATGTTGGAGCAAGAAAAGTAGCATTTAAAAAGCGGACTGGTATCCTGGACAAATGCTTTCTATGAGGACACTCTACATTAAATGATTAATTGTGATATTTATAGAGATAAGAATTGTTGCTCAAATTCCCATGCCAACTTTTTCCATTAGTTCCAGAGGCATACATTATTTCCAAGAAGGTAGGACTTGCCACATCAGATCAAGTCCAACATCTTGTTGCTAGGAATGGCCTTTACCTAATACCCTGGAGGAAAATGAACCATCCCATTAGGCTCCAAGCCAATTCTTCAGGGAAAAAAAAGAGGACTTTTTGAAAAGTATATACTGCACAGCTCAGCAGAGTCCAAAATTGGTACATTTCACTACTTCTCTTTTCTGTACATGAATATTTACTTCTTTTAAAACATAATCATGTCAAGGAATTCCATAACTTACGAGGATTATGAGCACAAAAGTTATTAATTATGAACATGAAACATTTGATAAATGCAATACTTCAAAAACTTTTCAATTATATTTATTTGCCATGCTTTCAGTTAAGTAAATCATCTGCTCCAGTGTTAAGGGATTATGGTCGTTTTTATATAGACTTTTTAAATTTAAATCTACCACCTCCTCTATTTGCCAACTACTGGCCTTACTTCTCAGTTGTCTCTAAAGCCTGAGTCATTCCCAGCTCTCAAATGTATTTCCATCTATTGACAGAAGTTCTTTGCATAAAAGCAAACCAGTTGGGATGCAGTTTTTCAATGGAGGACATAAAATTGCTCTAGTCCCAAAAGTTGCCATTAAGATTTTAGGTTAATAGCATACATGTTAGTCATTAAAATTGCCCTGAATCTCCAAAACCTTAAAAGATAACTAAGCTGTGGATAAGAAAACATTTTAATGTTTTAAATGAATAATGAATTACTTTGCAGATGAGCAAATCGTTTTAGTATGAGCCAGTGGAAATTTTTAAAGTGAAATACTTTAAATGGGCCAGTGAAAATTAGCTGAGTGGTGAAAGCTTTCTAACTACTAGGGGTGCTGGTAGGTGATAAGCAGAGGCTTAACTGAGAACAATACCAAGATAGATGAGGTTCTTACTTACTATTCAACAAAGATGGCTCTCAACTTTGCTCTCATTTCCAATTTGATCTTACTCCTTTCCATTATGGATGACATCTTCTTATATTATTCAAATCATGTGTTCAAAATGTTAGTGAGTGCCTACTTTATGTCAACCCTTCAGACCACAAAAGAAAATAAGAAACATTCCCTGCCCTCAACATGCTTTTAGTCTAATGGGAAAGTGAGATGTGAGAATCATTTTCAATGCTGTGTGACAAGTATTCTCACAGGTAAAATATAGAATATCACAGAAATGCAAAGGAGAGAAAACAACTGTAAAAGCCCAGGAAAGAAGAGAGTCAGACCCATTTATCGAATAACAAATATTTAAGTAAGATGGTGGCAGATGACAAAGACTGGGAAGAGATGTTGCTAGAAAGATATGAGTATAGTCTGCATTCTGAGGGCAGTGGAGAACAGTGGACATCTTTTAAGTAGAGAAGCAACATGATCGGGTATACATTTTGAAAAAGATGAATTATATGGTGAAGAACGTCCAGGTGTAGGGCGTTTTGGTAATTAATGTGACACATGTTGCAGCTGTGAACTGAAATGGTGGCTGGAATTGCAGAAAAGTGGAAAGAATGACAGATTTCAAGGACAAATGGATACATTTTAGGGGATGAAGCTAAGGGAATAAGTGAATGAAGGAAAGGGAAGACGTGAAAATGACAACCAGATTTCCAGCTGAATAGTTGTGCCATTCCCTGAGCCTCTTAGGAAATACAGGAGGAATAGCCTGCTTGGAGGGGTGAGGCTCCCAAATCAGGGTTCCCTCATTTTCAGATGATCCAAAGTCTACATTTAAGATTATGTCTAATCTTCTTAGGACTCTGTTTTAAGAAATCAAGGAGAAGGCAGACACCTCTAATGAGGCTCACTGGCTGCCATCTCCCGAGCATATGCCAGAACCGCCCCAGGTAAGCAGCTCCAGACATTCACCGCCAGACTCAGTCTTTGATCTCCATGGTCAAATCCTGGACTGCTTATCAGGAGACCTCATTTTGGTGAAGAGATCCCTCCAATCTTTTCATTAACAGATGCTCCAATTCCGGCTTCATGTTTTTTCTATTTCTCTCTAGCACATCCTCAATCATGCCTTTATATTTTTGCCCATTTTAATGCATAATTTGGATTGTGAGTCCACTTTCAGTTCCTCAGAGGACTTAGAACACAGCTGGCTCGCAAATGAATGTTCAGGAATAATGGCCTTTTTCCACGCTCAGGGGCAGCCCTACCCTAAATCTCTGTTTCCTATCACTTAAATCATGACATGGCCATCACTATTACCCCGATTGTAATTTATTTTTCTTAATCATTTTTCAGGAACAACATCACTAAAAGGCTTTTTAAAATGCAAATAAATTATGTTCACCAAATCACAGTTTTCTATTATTTATATTAAAAAGAAGTAACTTGAGCAGTTAGCAGGCATGATTTTCCTTTCACGAGCTTGTGTACTTTATGTTGGTCGGGTGCTTAAATCTCCTATCACTTATTTTATGAGTTATGTGAATATTCCAATCTTTAAAAATACACAAATCTTGGGACACACATATTTTTGTGGTAGCCGATATTTTAAAAGGAAATATGAATGGTGGGAAAGGAAGGAGGAATTAGCTGGAGTTTTATATGTTTGAAATAAATATGATAACCATGGGAAGTCAAAGAACAACATCTAAATAACTGCATTAGCTATATATTATCATCAAAAAACTAGCAAGTTGCTAGTTTCTTATGGTCTGTGGCATATGCAAAGATTTTTTTTTTTTTTTGAGTAAGTCCCAATGTTAGGCATTGCCAAATATGTGCAATGCAAAAGTTTTTATTTATTTATTTATTTATTTATGCATACAGAACTGGGGTACAGGCCAGAAGTGTAGGGGCAGTGAGAGGATTCACCAGAGACAGAATGGGGAACAGAACAAGCCGATTGATGAGGTACCCTGCTGAGGGAAGCAGTGGGCGGGTCAGGAGAGGTCTGCTGTGCCATGTGGGTCACCTTTGGAGCGTGGATTGAACTCATGCTGAAGTGGCTTTGGCTTCTTAATGCTGTGCCTCAACCTGCTGCGCCACCAGGGAGGGCTCGCAATGCAAAAGTTTTAAAAGAATACCCAGGCTGTCATTCTATTTTGAAATAGGCTTAGCCATGTGCTGTGTACTCTTTACCTGTGCTTCTCTAAATACGTATGGTCCTAACTCCTTCCTGTGTTCAATAATCTTCTGGGCTTGCTCGTGTGGAATGTCTATTTGTAAAGCTGGTGGAATACTGGAGTTAATGAAGCAGTTGATAATAGTCATGATCTTCTTATGGATAATGGACTGCTCACAGTGAGAATGGCACAAGTCCTGAAGAAAGGGAATAAAAAAGAGCAATACATGATTAAAGCACCAGCAGAACATGGGTTGTGCCAATATGTGTTTCAGTTAACATATACAATTTTACTTCAGAAAAAGAGGTCACTGGGCAATGCCAAGATTATCTTAAAAAAAAAAAAACAGCTTTTATTTCCTTGGGTTGGAGGAACTCAGGTTCATATATCTTAATACAAACACAGACGTCTTTTAATCCCGATTACTGTTTCTAGGCAAAGGAACAGTTTTAGTGGCTATTTTGACTCACTTAACAAGTACATATCTAGTACTTGCTATACACACTACATATCACTGTTTTTGTGTCTCTAGCTGAACTCAGCCTGAGACAGTAAGTAGTCTGAGCATGTAGGCATGCACAGGGTGTGAGGACCACACCAGAGTGATCTGGGGGACAGGTGTGCCACCATGCATATCTTAGTACCTATATGCTTTTAGTTAAACCCATTACATCATCTTTTCAACTAAAGATCATACACTATTGTGACCATACATTAAAACTCGCCAGTTTCATGTCATTTTGTTTAAATCAAGAGGTAGCCTTGCTTGTATTATGTCACTTTTTTGTCAAGACAATGATTTCTATATCACTAGAAAGCAAAAAAATTTAAAAAAAAAAAAGGGAACTTCTAGATCTAGACCAGCAGGAAGCCAAAATTATTAAGTACTCATTGTAGGGTGGACATTATGAAAGCTGTCTTGTGGACATGATTAAAATAAGAAAAATTCTAGTGCTTGCCACACGAAACTTCACATATAGTTTGGCATAGTTTATAAGTTTGAAAAAAAAAAAGCTTGAAAGAAATGTTACATTGTGACAACAGTTAGCACTTTCTACTTAATTTAAAACTTAAGCAAACATCTAAATTTACTCTGTTCCCTCAGGAAAAAAACCTATTTATACCATATAATTTTTGTAAAGAAAAATATTTTATTTGCCGTTACCAGTGAAATTATCGTACAAAATTATTTTGTGAGCCTGGTTATAATTATGGAATATAAAGTTTGTGAAAGAAAAACAAATTTCTGGAGTTATACAAGTGAAGGAAAAAGGATTTAGACTGAATAACAATTGATGATTCTTTCTGACAGTTCTGCCCTACCATAGTATTAGCGTAGTTAACTTTGAAAGTCTCAACTTACGCACACTTTCTTCTTGTAAGCTTTCTGCCACCACCTCCCTCTCCTGCCCTCCTTGGCCAGGAGACTTGTCCATCCTGGGTCCTTCCATAATATCCTGTGCTTCTTCAGCACTGCACTAATCACTAACTGCCTTACCTAACACTTATCTATTCCTCTCCCCTAACCTCTGACTCTAAGAGGGAAGACTGAATCACAACTGAATCCTATTTTCCTGGCCCTTGGTTGGTGCTCAGTAAATAGTTTTTGGCTTAAAATACACTTTCAGTCTTTTTTTTGTGTACACACACATACACCCCCCCATTGTAGATTAAATCATACTGTTTGCTAAGCAACAGTAAGTATAAACCAATAATAAAAACTTTTCAATAATATAATCATTGATTATTCTACATTATTCTATTATATAGATGTATTATATATTGATGCATCATAATTAAATGATCAGTGTCCTACTGTTGAACATCTGGATTCTCTCTCTCTTTATCACAATTCAAAACCACGTTTGGTTAAGAATATTGTTACCAGCTCTGCATATTATCACAGTCATTACTGAGAGGGAGCAATAATAAGTAAAAGCATGAGATTTACAACAAAAAGTCTCGGTTCCGATTCTAGTTTCACCATTTAAATAACTGTAGGACATTAGGAATTTCTCAACTTTTCTGTGCTTTAGCTTTTTCATCTGTAAAATGGGGAGAACGATAGTCTTCACCTCACATACTACTTCATGATAATGGTTTTCAGAGATGTCTCCTTCCCTGGGTAGGAGAGAGGTGTGTTCACCATTTGAGCGCTATAATTTAGCATAATGGTTGACACTTTAAATACTTAATAAAGCCTTTGCAAATCCACTACTATAGCATGGTTTTCAATAGTTAACTAGTATTGAACTATATTACAGTATTTTAAAAAGAAGATAAAGGGCAGTCTGGAATGAGAAATAGTCACAAAAGTATGGGCTGAGTATGTATGAATCTATAGTTTCTTTAACACTCTTTGGCAAGGATTTGCCTCTCATCCTAGCAGGGTTGGACTTACTCATATTCATATTGGCTCAAAGACAGTTTTGCCCAACCCACAATCATAACTGACCATTCTGGAAAACAGACTCTACCTCCTTAAGATTCTCCAAAATTTCTTAAATACTTACTTTTTTGTGAAAAATTTTTAAAAAGCATCTTGAAATTTTTTTATTCTAAGAAAATTTCCAAGTTGAGAACACTACCAAAATTACTAACAGAAAGGCATAGGGGGGATCTTGCACATAGCCACTTGGATTTTTCACTTAATTATTTTGTTTAAAATTTGATTATCTGTACCAATAAAAAAAAATCCTCTTTCATCTCTATAGGCTTGTTTACCAGTAACCTACTATCTTTGGCTACTGTATAAATATTCTTGAGAAGAATTCTTGTAACAAGATCGTGGTTAAAGTTCTGAATATGAATCTCTTTAGGAAGAAAATGTATATAGTACATTTATAGACAAATGATATGCAGAAATAAAGTTAACACTTTCAGGAAGGTTCTCATCAGATGATAATATATGGAAATAGTTGGAAAAATCTAAAACTATAACTTCAGGGTTCAATATTCCTTGTAATAATAAGTGCATTTTATTTAGAACAATAAATATTTCAATATTTACACACTGGTATAAAGATGGCAAAATTGGAATATCTTACATAAATCTTGCCCATAAAGTTACAGTTAAGATTCTGATCTCTTAATGCATTTCCTTCTCCAAATGAGGTGGTTTACTTCAGTTCCCAGTACAATACCTTATATTTTTGTACTTCTTGCCAAAAGAGTACCCCATTTTCCAGTAAATCTCCTTTTAGAGCCACAAACCGTTGAAATTGTCTTGCAGTAACTGGATTCAATAATGCTTTACGAAAAGCAATGATTTCACAAGATGAAGATATCCACTTACTTTCCACAGGCTTTCCAAAACAGAAAATACATAAAATTAGCCATGCTCTGAAACCTAATAATCATTTATTAGGCTAAAAATCACCAACTTCTATCTCCCTTAGTTCTGACTGTTGACATTTTATAGAAAACAAAAACCGGCACCTTCCCCTTAGTTTCTGCACTTTTATAATGCCTCAATTTTTACAAGGTAGAGGGAAAAATAAATGGATGATTTAGAACATATGAGTATATCGCTTAAGAAGGTTAACATCATTCATTACAGTTTGGGACTATAATGAAAAACTACATGTTAGTGTATAGCAAAAGTTCCATGCTTAAGCAGAACAAAATATTCATATTTTAAGTTTATGATTACTTATATATGTTGTATATTAATATATAACTACTGCCTTTTGAAAAGTAAAACTTAAGAGTTGGACTTTTAAGGTATCTCTTCATAATTTTTAGAGATTACCAATTGATCATTTAAACAGGAAATCTACTACAGAGTTTCACTGTAATTCTGTCTTGGAAAAATCATATGTTTAAATGAAACATCTATATTATTTAACAATAAATTATTTATTGTAATTAATAATAACACATGGTTATTATTATGTTACTTTTAATAATAAAGTTCCTCTACTGAGGATTCAATTTACAGAACAAAAAGTCAGAAGGACCATAGTGTTTCAATAATGTTTAAAGGCTTTACTCTTAATTTAATAAAAAAAGTTTTATTTTATATCCTTATAATTTTGCAATCTAAGATGTCTACCTTTTTTTTACTTTTACCATTTTAGATGACATATTCACTCCCGCTTTGGACTCTTAAGATTAAAAAATATAACAGATAAATTCCACTACTGTCAGTGCATAAATTAAGTTTCTTGAAACAAGTCCTATGTGACCATTACGATAAGTGCTTAATAGAGTTATGCAGAAAGTGCTGTGGGAACACAAAAGAAGGAATACCTAATTCAGCCTGAAGAGTAAAAACTTTATAAAGAAGGACCCTAAGGATGACATCTGAGCTGGAAACTAAAACGCAAAGGTAACTCCAGCCAATCTAGATGGATGTTAATCCTTTGACTCAGAGAAAGTGAGGGACAGATCACTATTTTAGTGAGGCACATGTGCTCTCTGGACAAAAAGCGAAGACCCTCACCATATGGTCCATATTAAAATTATAGCCCTATAAATAGGAACAACTATGTATTAGAATGGGATGTTTATTTAAAACCCACTCAGCAAATAATGTTTTAAGACCTGCTTCTTAAGATAGTAAAACATAGCAATTTAACTAAAACCTGTAAGTTAAGCAGAAAATAACATAATATATAATGCACGATAGTATGAAATATTGTTCTTTAACATTTCAATAAAAATAGAGCAAAAAACAAAGAGAATAAGTTTATTTCAAGATGAAAATACAGAAAAAGAGCATTCTAGTAGATACATACACTCTTTTAACGTTCAAATAAAATTTTATTTTTGTCAGTTTGCAAGGGGTCATCTGGATCTAGTTTGCTATTCTAGCAAGAAGAATGAATATATGTGTGTGTATGTGTGTGTGTGTGTGTGTGTGTGTGTAGGCTCAAAAAGAAGACTGTGTTTATTGTGCTTGTTAAGAAGCAAAACAGGCAGTTTCTAGTAAGGTAACATATACCAGAGGTTTAAATAATCACCAAAATGATAGTTATTCTAAATCTTTTAAAGCTAAAATGTATTTCTACGTAAAGAGGATAATGTAAAGATAATTCAACCTCCTGATTATGCTGTTTACTTCTCATTCTTTTTATGTAACTGGCACTCAGAAAACAAACTGCCATGTGCTAGAATGAATAGCTCAACTCAATAAATCCATCAGTGGCAAAATAAAGTACAATACATATTTAAAGTCCATTTCTAGGGTTGAACAGGTCAAGAAACTCTTTAAGAACAGGGTTCTTAAAGGTTGCTAGAGTCACACTTTTCCCAGATTTCGTCAGCCAATTAAAAACAGTGTCTTCAGTCAATTGGGGGTTTAGAAAACAGTGTCTACAATAAGGGTCTTTGAGTAAGAAGAGGAAGAAAAATAATGCTTTGACAGAGGGGAACTTATAAAGGGAAGAATAACAAATATTACTTGCCTTCCAGACCCCAATTTTCCTTCCATGCTTCTGTAGTAAGAGCTCTTCAGCTATGTCTTTCATTTGTACCTAAAAGCAAAACCAATTATTTTATCACAATTTTTCAGAATGTCAAGTTTTGGAAATTATTTAATCTAATAGCTTCAAAAGGTGAAGTAAAGGTCAGCATAGCTAAGAGATAGCACAGTTCAGGAAAAAGTGATCAGACTGAGAAATGGAAGCTTCTAGGTCCCTGGTTACTCAAATTTTCTGTAAGTTTCCTCATCAGCAAATGTTAATGGTACCATATTATATATATAATAATACTATATTGTCCCAGTGTAGGTAATAGACTGAAGCTGCAGAGATAGAGCTTCCCAGACTTTTGTGCACTTTTTTTTTTTTGTAGCACCAACACATTTTAGAAGAGTGTACAAATTAGTCAACACCACGGGGAAATACAGTAGACATTTCTTGAGGTTTTGTTTAGTCAACAGTTTCCCTTCAGAAACTTCTCCAGCTACGTGAGAGCTGCATAGCAGGGAGAGATGGGAGCTGAATTACACAAGAAGTTCTGCCTCCAAGTGTTCGATAACCATGACTTTGGGGAGAAGATCTGGGAACTCTTGCTGGGTCCCAGGTGCTCCTGGTGCCTGGCTTTTCTAAAGCTTAGGTGTCAACTCCCCTGGGTGTAATGAGATGCTCTAGTGCCATTTAATTTCTTTATTTTTACTTTTTAAAAAGATTTATTTTATTTATGCATATAGAACTGGGTATAGGACAAAGGTGCAGGGGTGGTGAGAGGATTTCCCAGAGACAGAGTGGGGCTTAGAACAGGTAGATTGATGAAGTACATGCTGAAGGGAGCAGCAGGCAAGACAGGAGAGGTCTGCTCCACCAGGTGGATCATCTGGAAGGGTGGGGAATCATCTAATTTGAGCTGAAGTGGCTACGGCTAGCTTTGCAGTGCTGTACTTTAACCCCTTGCACCACCAGGGAGGACCCCTCTCGCATCACTTTATAATAAATTCTTTCCCTTCACTTTTGTCTTTGGCTTAATGTTGCCTGAATCCAGAGAATGCCAAATCAGGAAATGGCTATAACTTACAACAAAATTGTGCTAAATACAGTGAGAAAATATAGCAAATAATATCTGTAGACAAATGTCTTTTTATTTGGCATTGGATTGAAATATGGAGTTAGTGTGAAGAAAGGGAATGAGGAAATGTGAGCTGGACCAAAGGTTATTTCCAGGAATTTTCTGCCTGCAGTAAATCATCTTTTCTTATCCACACTATATATTCTATACTCCCAGCTGTATTGTTTTTTCTAACTTAAGGAGTATAGAAAGCTGGGGTATTTCCATATAAATAAGACTCAAAGTGTTTGACATATTGGATATATGGGGCAGCTTTTTAAGTTCTGTCCTGATCAAGGCTAATGGCATATATTTTATATACTAAAATCCAAAATTACACTCTCTGCCCCATTATTTTTGTAAAGGTTACATTTGCCTGTTATACAGTCACATTTTAAATTATCAGAGTAATAGATATTTCTTATAAAATAAAAATAAAGCAAAGCAACCCCTCTCCTTTATCAAGTAAAAAGTAAAATTCTCTCTTTCTAAACCCATTCCTAGATTACAGATCCTTTCAGATCTTTTCCACGAATAAAGAGAGACAGAGCAAAATGCATAATGGGCAGATATAGAGGTATAAGTATACATAATGGTATTATTTTCTATACATTATTCTGCATCCTTTATATGTATAGAAGATAATACTATTAGCACTCAATCAAAAATATCTTTAATCTTTAATACTCTCATTTTGATATTTTTATCTCAAGATTTCATTTAATATGGAGAGCTGCATAATTTTCTACAGTATGGGGTACTCATTGCCCATTTTTGTGAGGACAATAAAATTACATTAAAATAACTACATTATTAACTAATAATAGTTGAGAATTTGCTATGTGCCAGGCACCATACATCATTTCATCTCATCTTCATAATCTCATGAAGCAATTACCATAATTAGTTCTATTGTTTTCAAATGAGGCATTTAAGGATATAAAATTTTAAATTGTACAATTAATAAGTGTCAATGTTATGATCAAAAGTTGGGAGGTCTGACTCCATTCTTTTGACAACTTTGCCACAGAATACAGTATCTGGGTAAGTTTGTACCTCTGGTGTTTTGACAGGTATTAATGAATTCCTATTCAAAGATTATACTAATTTACAAACCTTTATCTTTTGACGTGCTGCAAACTGTTCACTTGCAAGAAACAATGGCAACCACACATTTTCTAGCCTATTCAGAACATGCTTCTGGATTTCAATTAAAACAGATGCATCAAGGTATTCATGGAGAATTTTTCCCCAGCCACCACTTAATTGCATTATCTAAGAAAATAAAATGAAACAGAAATGACAAACTTCTGTTTTGGCAAAGAAACACCAATAGTCATTTACCTATTCATTCACCACCCCCCCAAACCATTTGCTGAGTACACAATAGGTGCTACCATTTTCATTTTCTGTAAGGACAGAAGACTTCCCTTACTTCACAAAGAGATTTGTGGTTTATTCAATAGTTGTCTTAGATATATGAATCTGTTTACTTATATTTTAAAGTACACTGGAGTGGGATTTTATCCTATGTGACCACAAGTAATGACATTTATTTCTCCATGGGCTCAGGATCATGTAAAATAAGACTATTAATTTTCTAAGTTCTCTTCTAGGTCTAGTAGTCTATAAATCCATGAACTTGGCAAACTGAGCTGAGAAAGCATTTTCTTTTGTATAGAGAGAAATAGGGCATTAATTAATTAAGAGACAACTTTCACTCAGATATTGTAAATATGTATATTGTCAACAAACATTGGGTTGCAAATGATGGAATAACGGTTGTCATAGCAATGCAGGGCAGCTCTGTTCTCTCACTTGCAAGGGTAGCACCCTTTATAAAACACAATTTCTTTGTTGCCCAATTCTTCCTTCTCCATGATTACTAGCTTAAATAAAAGATGGCTTTTTCATGCTATAAATCATTCTGTTTTCTACCTGGTTTTGTGTACAAACAGCTCAAAACTGCGTATTGGGAAACAACCTCCTTCTTAGCATTCCTTTGATTAATAAGTTAAATCTATTAGTAGTAATATTCTCTTACACAAAAATAAAAGAAAAATCTTCTTAGCCACCCTGTCATACAGTTAGTCAAATAATATTAATTTTAATATTATTTTTTCTTTCTTTGTATTAATTTTTCTTTCTTTGTATTAGAAAGAAAAAGACTGCTAATCAAATTAACCACATAACTGAAATTAGAACTAGTACAATCTACATAAAATATGTGATAAAAATATCCTTGTGAAATTAGTAAATAAAAATAAATGTAAGGGCAAAAGGGATTTTTTAAGCATGAATGTATGGAGTAGTATCAGTTAAAAGAAGAACAGGAAAGAGACAGACATGGGATCTATGACTGTTAATGCCTGGTTTTTGTTAAAAAGTACAGGGATTTTATTCAGCACTTATCCTGATCACATAGAATTGTGAATGAATTGATGAATAAAACCTATATTTATTTTATAAATTACTTAAGAGTAATACATTTTTATAATGTCATAGTTGAGAGAATTTTAAAGGTATTTAAGGTGCAGAGTCCTATGAATACCTAAAAATAACCCTCAAAATTTGCCTAAAATATAAGTGATAAAAGCAAAAGAAAAAAAGACTATATACCTAATGGAATACTATTCAGCTATGAGAAAAGATAAGGCGTTGGTGGTATATGCACTATGGTGATAATACCTGATGGAGATACCCCAGTGCTGCCTCAGTTAAAAACTAATTAACTAAAATTAAAAAAAATAGAAAAGATAAACTCTTGATTTTTGTGACAACATACCTCAAAATAAAGAGGACTATCCCAAGTAAACTAAGTCATAAGGAAGAAAGACAAATACCAGACGGTGTCACTTAAGTGTAGAATATAGAAAAACCAGGAAAGAGTCAGGTAAAACCAATACTCATAACAAGCCTAGAAATTTTATTGTAGAATTGACACTACCATGGGGGGAGAAGGGAGGGGAAGGGGAAAGTGAGGTATGGAGAGGCAAAGGGACACTCACTGTTGAGTGTAGTGTGGTAACTAACACTTAATGGTGTGAGCTGATACCTCTACATCACAGACAATATCATAAACCAAATGCTACCTTGACAAAACAAAAAAGGAAATAATGATTTTCAGGTTAATGATAAAAAGAAACACTTTCATACTTTGATAGAGAAAATGTTTATATATTGATACCTGATCCTGCTGATTCAGGGAAGCTGGACTATTAGGCCCAAAGAAATATTTTTTATTAAGATATTTGTTTTTTATATATATAGATTTTGCCTCCCTTTGCTTTCGATCTCTGTAAGCTATCCTTCGGTACTGCTCAATGTCTGTCCAGCACATAAGGTCCATGCTAAAACGAAAACAGAAACAAAGTACAGTCCTTATTTATTTCCCCCATTAAAATTATTTATTTTTATTTTGACAGAGCTAGTTACCTTGACTAGTTAGCACAGTATTAGACCAAGGAATAATGAGTGCAATATTGTATCTCTGATCCCTCTGTAGACCAGTTAGGTGATCTCTATAATACTTCTCATCCTGTCTAAATATATGAATGAGTAGAAGGAATACCAGAATCCAAAGAGATTCTACCACCATATCGGTAGTATCTCACAGCTATTTCACCCTATTACAATTTGGCTAGTAAAGTCAAATTCAATATGGGAAAATTTCTGCCAATTGCATATCTATTTGGCAACATGCTACATTTAGAATAATTCTTATCACAAAGAAGGGAAACTATGTGAAATGTGGTTTCCAGATCTAACCAATCTACTATCTTGAAGAAAAATGTTAGAAAACAATTAATCAATGCTACATTTATATGACATAAATGCATCATAAGGTTCCAACATCTATGCAAAACACCACTGTTTCATTATGTACTGGTAATAAAAATTACAAAATACTATAACAACTTCAATAGCTTAGTGAAATATAAAAGGGACACTTCTCAGAAGTAGCAATTAAGACCCCTGTCTTGACAGATGCAAAAGAAAAGGCACAAAAGGGAAAGAATAAACATACTAGTGTTTTAATTTAATCAGTGGGAAAGTATCAACAAATATTGTTTAAGACTTAAAAATACACATTTGGGGTTGCCATTATCAAAATATACTCCCCAAATAACAAAAAGTTATTTATGTAGCTTTCAGGTCATGCTCATTAATTTTGACTTGGCATAGCACCAAGTCACTTCTATCACTATCACTATCAAAAATAACTAATTTAAAAATATATATATAGCTTAGAAAATGACGAAATTCATTTAAAATTACTTATGTTCCTCACCTTGAAGAATGAGCCTCAAGAAACTGACGGAAATGTTCAAACTCCAGTTTGTTGTTAAGCAGATCATTAAAATTAAAATGTTTATATTCTGCAGGAACATTATTCCAATATTCTGTTTGTTTAGAAAGATCAGGGTGTGATGGAATACCCGTTCCAGTTTCACCAGTACTGTCCTAGTGAAATAATACCTTTCATAAACATCTCCTAAACACAAAAAATTATCTTCCCAATTTAAATAGCAAAACTTAAATAAAAATCAATTATTTGGACAATACCATCTAACATTTCAACAGTAAACTGCATAAAGAGCTTTGAATCTAGAATCTGTCCTAATAGCGTCTGTGCTGTCCCTTTCCATTCCGTCTGCTTCTTTTTTTCAGGGACATTGAATAAATTATTATTAAATACTTGCTTATAAAATATTTATTTTATATAATATGTCCTCAGCATTTTCCATGTCTATAAACATGTATCTAAACTATCATGTTTTATGTAAATACACACATGCATTTTACAGTTTTCCATATCTATCATGGTTTACTTAGCCAATGCAAAAGTGGCAAATTTATAAATCAAAATGACATGTAATGTCCTGGTCACTCCCCTGATCTTTTTATTGACTTCCCCAAATTATTTCCATTCTTTTCATATTTTTTCTTTACACTTATGCCGATTGTTGTTACACAACAGTTTATTTTCTATTTGGAAACTCAATTTAATTATTTTGTGCCTTGATCACAAATAGAGCTGCTGTCATAGAGAAAGTAACCAGTAATATTCAAAGGAATATAACATGGCTGGAGGCTCATAGGTAAGGCAAGTGAGTAGCCTAGCTCCTTTTGCTACTTCATCTACTTTGTTGTTAACCTATATCTATAAAATGTGGCAGCTGTCAAGTGCAGCATACTAGGCAGCAGGAAAATGAAACAACCTATCCTCTGCATATCAACAGTATGATCTCTCCCCGCCAATTTATGCAGTGGCAGCCCTTCCAGGATAAAAGAAGAAAAAAAAAGATTGCCTAAGTAAAGAGTTGTCTTACTTCAGCTTTCTTGGAAAATGTCTCTTTATGCAAAGCCTGTAGCTTTCTGAAGTATGTGGAGTCTAGCTGTCGAATTTCTTCCACCAGCTCCACCTAATAAAATAATAAAAAAGTTTGCAACATCAATAGAATGTGCATTATGAAAAAGTAGGGAAAGAATGCACAATTTTCCAATAATGGGCTAAAAAAAACAAACACACTTGCCAATAAAGTAAATTATGTTGTAGGCAAAGGCAGGAGGACAAACATAGTAAAAAATATTAGTTATAACAACTTCAGATTTCAAGTACATGTGATTAAGATATGCATACATTTCTGCAGAATGATGTGGTGTCACCCAGGACTGATTCTTTCTGGACACCCCATTGAACTACTCAACAATGTAATATGTTGGGTCACATTTGTAGTTTCTATCACCATAGTGGGGTAAAAGTCATAAAGGCAGGGACTGCTAGCTCTAAGGACAAATAATCTACAAAAGAATAGGAAATGATAGTGGTCTGTGAGCATAGGTTTACTGCTGCAGAGGTGAGTCAAACATCAAATCAAACCTCATATTAGGTCTTAGCCTTCAGAGTGTGATCACACTGCTTTATATAATCAGTACAGCAGGATTATTTTCCATTTCTCTGTTGCAAGAAAAAAACAGTTTAGATGACTGAAAAAGAACTTTTTGCATTTAAGAGCTAGTTTTGGTAGTCTCCTTGGTTATCCTTTTTAGGAAAGAATCTAATGTAATTAATCCTGTCAGCTGGACATTTAGAGAAGTCCAGTGGGCTGATTTAAGGAGGTTTCTAGAATCAAAGTGAGATTTATTTTTCCTGTTACTAAAGTGTGTAACATTTGTCCATGCCATTTATGACAATCACTACTAATACCAAAACGCTTTGGTTTAGGGAAGTTAGTTGTAATTCTAAGTCTTTTTTTCCCCAACCATCTCAGAATCATGCTCCTCCACACTATAGTCATTACTGGAGAGGATTTTTTAAAATTTCATATTTATGCTATCTTAAATTTTCCAGTATAATATTATTATTTTTTTTAATTGTGGTGAAAGGATGCAATGCTAATTTCTCAGCACAAAGAGAAATCAGGAACAAAAATGTAATCATTCTGTCTGTTCAATTTGTAACAGGTACAGGTTTCATGGACTCCGCCCCTACTCCAGATGCTGAAACCCAAATCCAAATCCCATCAGTACCAAGAAGAAGCACGCAGGGACGTGAGGGCGGAGCTGAGCAGCCAAGTTGGTATCAAGGTTGAGAGAACCTTTTAAACAGCTTTTAAAGTTTTGTTTTGTTCTGTTGCTATGATTTTGATACACACCAAGAAGTTGTTTTTTTTCCCCTTTCACATGCACTAATGGACTATTTTCCACTTATGGCTGTCATATTGGACATTCATGGACAATGTTGGTGACTGACTATACTCTAAAATCTGTGCCACCATAGATATGGTGGTATGAAAATCAAAAGGGGGGAATTGCAACAGGTACAGGTTTCATGGACTCTGCCCCTACTCCAGATGCTGGAAAACTCCAAATCCCATCAGTACCAAGAAGAAGCACACCGGGACATGAGGGCGGAGCTGAGCAGCCAGGATGGGATAAAACCGGACATGTGGGTTCTGGGGGTCTCTTGGCCTGGTGGTTCGCAGCTGATCGTTTTGGCGCTCAATTGGTTTTCAGCATGCCGGTGGAGTCCAAGTCAGCAGAACTGGTAGGACATCCTAGTTAACCTGTGTTTCTCTCCCTCTTTCCCTGGGTTATCCCTTTACCTTTCTCCTTATAAATAAATCCATTATTTAACCTTTTGAGTGTCCATAATACGACTGAATCGTAAGCGGACGGTTGAAGACCTACAGACAGGCAACCCAATTCACATTGGGGAGCCCTGTAACAAATTCAGTAAGCCATATGGATAGTTTTACTCACAACCCACAAAGGTAACTGTCTCCATAGTGTTGTGGTACTACTTTAACCTTAATTCCTTACTCCACTCTTCCTAATAGTAGGAAGAATGGCTCTCTCTGAAACTGTGGAGCAGCCAGCTGAGTTCCACCTGAAATGACCTCATGTACAGGGTACATGCATTAACTAAAAAAAAAATAATAATAATAAAATAAATAATACTCATGAATGGTTTTAATTTGTGATTCAAAATAAATATTTAAAAATATTTCCTCCACCCATCAATAAGAATAGTGAAAATATTCAAGCACTGAGGCTTACAACGACCTCATTTGGAATGAGAAAGGATGTGTTGAAACTTTCATCCAATCAAGCAGTCTGACCTGATGAACATCTGGGGATGCTTTAAAATAGCAGCACTGAAGTCAGAGAATGTGCTTCCACAATACATATGAGACGTTTATATTTTCCATGGGTGTAATATTTACTGTAACTCATCCAGCATAAAATTAAACGGGCTTTTTTCATTAATCAAAATTAAAGCCACTGCTGAGAAACGGGAAGAAGGGACAAAGCCAGCAGATGATCACAGTGTATTTGGCTGGTTTACAAGAGGCCAAGATTCAGATTTCTCTCTGCTGACATATTTGTACAGAGAACTAAAAATGACATCGATTTGAAGCTCTTTTTTTTTTAGGGAAACTAGCAAAAAAAACAGTCCATGCCTGTCCCAGTTTTGAGCCTGCCTAAATCTTAAGTCCAAATCCTTCAGCCACAAGACATTTTCCACTTTTCCCTTGTGAATAATGTCACTCATCCTTAGTTTTGCAGGAGACTGAAGGTTCACATGCCATTGATCAGTGCCACAATACCTTTCTGTAAGCAAGCTGGTCTGATTTCACCATCATTGTCCAGGGCTCAAGTAGTAGGAGAAGGATATACTCTTCTGCTGTGTCAAAAAGATCTTCAAATGGTGGCTGTATTTTCATATAAATTTCTTTTTTCTTTTCCTTTTGAAGTCCAATGTCAAAAGTGGCTGAAGGAGCAACATATGTGGCAAAAAGATACTAAAGGGAAAGAAAGGATAAGATATTGGGAGAAAACCATAATGGATAGCAGATTACTCAACAAAGGCAATTTTTTTTAAAGTAAAAGATAGCAAAACAAGCTCAAGTGACTTTTCTTGAAATGATATGCAAACTGCTTAAGAAAAAGCAGTGTGTTTATTCAGAAGACTGCTTTCCATTTTATCTCCCTCTTCCTTCCTTACCCAATTAGTCAATGGATGTTGACAAGAATATGATTTGGGTATTCCGGTTTTTCTCAGATGATTATGTATTGTTATGTCTGATTAGAAGCTCCATGTTTTTTACCTCCTTAAATTCTATGGCATTTTTTGACATATTTGTGCTAATTTCTAAAGTGATATGAAATGCCCTTTTGGAAACAAGATGCAATACACCAGGGCTGAAAAACTGATTATTAGTCGTCTAGTTTAGAGACCCAGCAGACTGCATGCCTTACCCAATGGAGTTGCAAAATTTTTATGACTGTGGCTAATGATCTCTTTTTGCTGTAAAAAAGTCTCCATCTGGTGTCCAATGATGTGGAAGAGATAAAAGGAAGAAATGAGAAACTAGAGATATAGACAAAGAACTTCCAGCTTCCTAGACAAAGTTGCTGGAGGTCAATAATAATAGCTATTTAAATTTGAGAAGCAACTGAATAACATCTTACTTTAAAAATGCTGTTTACTGGATATGTGACACTCTGCATATCAGATTTAAATGTTTTAATAAGACTATCTAATTACCTGTATTTTACATCGTATACTTAAACTTTGGATCTGATAAGGTTCAGGTAAAACACAGATGATCAATCAGTTAATTGATTTGATAGAGATTTGTACCAAATATAAATAATTTTTAATTATTTTAAAGATTAAAGATTTCATGTTAATAATGTATTTACTAAATATCTACTATATCTTAGATACTTGGATAAACTTACATATTCAAAGATTAATAAATAGGACCCAATGTAATACAGTATGATAAACACCACATGATTAGGGATAACAAATAAGATATTCTATGATTATACATTCAGGTTCACAAGCCATTTAATCACCTTTTTTAAAAAATGAGGTAATACTGATTTATAACTCTATATATGAGGCAGCCGCCTCACCCTCTCAGATGCATGTCACCACAGCACACCCACCAGCCAGGCACCAATAATCACCTTTTGAGTTTTGCAGTCAAATACCAATTTCTCTAAAAATTCCCACAACATCACTATTTCAATATTCCATACCACTGCACATATTTATTTAATCTTGGATATTTTTCTGACTGCTAAAACTCTATAATTTATTCTTTTTAAAAAGCCAGCATGGATTTCTCCTCCTCTGGGAAAACTTCACTCATACCCTTCTCCCAAGATCATACTTTTTCTTCTACTACTCCTATCACCCTTAAGTGCAATTAAGTATTTATATGTCTTCTCTTCTACAATGAGGGTAAATACTGAAGTTTATTCATCTGTGATTGTCCAATGCCTAAGACTCTTCTTGGCAGGAATCGATTCCATAAGTGCTTATTGAGTTATACTGAGCCCATAGTGAAGACTCATTTATGTCTTGGGATGAAGAAATAAAATTCTCAGAAACTATTTCAAGAAGAGATAATTCTTATACTACTCATGTATAATAGAAAAGGAAATTTTCCCTTTTGTAACAACATAACTAGAAGTTGAAGTAATTATGCTAAGTGAAACAGAAAGTGAAAGAAAATTACTCTGATATGTAGAATATAAATAATCAGAGTAAAGGAATTAACAAAACAGAACAAATGTGGTTACCCAGGGGAAGGGGAGGAATGAGGAGGGGGTCAATTTGATAGAGGGAATGGCACTAGAACTTTGGTGGTAGATATGGTGAGACATATTATCTACTGAGGTATGAAGTTGTTCTTTCAAAATTAATTTGGTAAACCACTGGCAAATCAATAAAAAAAAAGTTTGAATAAATAGAAGATAATCCTTAAGCTAAATCTCTAAAGACGAGTTAGAGTCAATCAAAAAAAAAAAAAAAGAGTAGTGCAAAAGATGATTCAAGAAGGAAAACATGGTCCAAGATAGGGACACCTAACTAGACTTTTATTACCTGTGGAAAGAATGTAGGCTTCAAGTAGATACCACTGGCTAATGGAACATAAGATAAAATGCTATAAAAGGAATCGGTATTAGAGTATATATATGATTTTTATCCTTCAAGAATGAATTTGAATCTTTAAGATATACAATAGAGACTCTCTGAGAACTAACATTATTGAATATGGTTTTTTAAAAATAAATCACTGTACCATAAAGAGGAGAAACAGATCAAGATTTGAGGCAGTATGGAAGTTGTTTCAATAGCCACATTAATCATATGCTGCCTTCATCTCTAGTCTGAGTGGGTGGATGGGTGGATGGATAGATGGATGGATGGATGGATGGATGGATGGATGGATGGATGGATGGATGGATGGATGGAAGAGTTTATCCATTCTCAGAAACTTAAAAATAAGCAATATATGTGGAAGAAACCCAAATATATGTAAGTTACAGCTTTCCTGAAATTGAAGCCCTTGCTATTCCTGAAATTTTAGCTATTTAAACAGTATATGGACACTCAAACTCAGTGTCTCAATTACATAACGATTCTCTTTTCCCTGCTTTCCAAGCTTCTCTTTTCCGCCTGTGTTTCCAGTTTTCATTAATGACATACAGGTGATAGCACATTCTTTGACTTCCTCAGTTTCCTTCTCAAAATACAAGTCCTATTTCTTTAATCTCTGCAATGAAACAAGGAGAAACTGAGAAGTGTAAAAACTGGAAGAAATAAGCAGCAGCATTTCTGTCCCAACAAAAACAAGCTAAAACACAATCTCCTCACTAAGCATGGCCAGACCCTTTCCTGAATTAAACACTCTGCTCAGCTGGAGCCAGAGCCCAGGCACACTGTTTGGCTGAAGAGCCCATAGTCTCAAGGAGCTACAATTAGGGTAACCTTATGTCCCCACTGGGTTAAACCTCCTGTCCTGGCATAATTAATAGTTCTCTTTTCACTCTCAAAAGATCCTTGGCTTAGGTGATAAACTTTATGGTTTTTTGAACTGCTGTTTAAAAAATACTTATATTTTCCCCAACTATTTAGTATAAAAAATTTCAAACACAGAAGTGTACAATGGATACACACATGTCCACAGTGTACATACCATCAGTAACATTACAGTTTTGTTTCTCATCTATCTACCATCAGTCTGTCTATCCAATTGCTTATCTACAAATTCATCTAAGTATTTACTGTTTAAAAACAATTTATTTTTTTAATTAAGGTTAATAGTAGGATCTTCCCCATAGGGTATTGTCACAATAAGGCATCCTTATACGTAACAGCCACCAAGAGTTTGATAAAATTATGAAATATCTGTAAAACAAGATGTTGGAACTACTGGACACAAAGTTGAAAAGAAAGGAAGGAAATAAAGGAAAGAAGATATTCCTTACTAAAATATAGCCATTTGCCTAATTTGTAATCATATGAATTGAATAGCTGTTATCAAAAGTCAAATCTTCAAACATGGAATATTTTATTTAGAAATTATATTGACTGAATCTTCATAGACTTCCTTATTAAGTGTAAACACATTAAATGAAAGTTGTACTCAAAGTTAAAAAAATAATTCCCTATCTGATTGCAACCAAATTTAGGTATTTGATTGCCCTTCTACCTTTCTTTTCCCTCTTAAAATCAGATTTATCAAAACATTGTTGCTTATCATCTAAGCAACAGTTCCCACTGTGATAAGCCGCATAATCCTTAAAAACAATGTACTCCTTCCACCTCCCCAGTTCTTAACTAGTCTTATTGTAAAATCATAGAACTGCAAGGATTAGAACTGGAAGCATGAGAGATGAAGCTTTCTTTAAAGGTCATTCTTCCTCTAGTACCCCAAGCCCACATTATACATTTTACTGCCTTCCTTTGAGGTCTGGTACTCGCGTCTGGGTGGTAGCAACAGACATGATCAGGCAGAATGGAGGAGGAAATTCAATTATATTGTCAATTCTTTACTAGGTCACAGAATCAACTGATAGTATTTTCCACTGAATTATGCATCAAAATCTGAGACTCTTTTTCTAATATGTGTGTCTAATAATCCAGGGGTAAGTGATCACTTATAAACACAAAGGATGATAAAGGACACAGTCATATACATACAAGATTAAAATCTTTATAAACATGCTAAAAATCATTTTTAAGTTGATTTAAATGAATTTTAAAATGGTATATAAAGATTATGCGTTAATATTGCTAAATAATATAGTCTAATTATGGGCTAGAAACATTGTTTAACCTGGTTAAGCAGTGTATCTGGGGATTACTTGCTTTTTTTATTGACCACCCAGTTCTTCCTTTCTAGTCACTGAGTAAATAACAATGTAGCTGATGTTGGAGAAGAAAACACTTCCTTCATTTCCAAGTCAGCTACTCTGATTCACATTAAAGCAGAGATTCACTCAGGCACAGCTGCGGCAGACATGATTCCAATTTAAACATTAACCTATGATGCTTTAACAACCCAGCAGGAAAGTTTTGGAGAAGAGACACAAGCACTGCCTGTCTGTGATCAAACTGCCTGGCACTGTGCATAACAAGGTTCTAAACTCCATCTCTCCTGGAGACACGCAGAGGTTATGTAATCAGGAAATGCACGACGGGCGGCTTGCCCAGCCCACTCTACACCTGTGCCGGTGACTCACTTTCTTGGCGTCTGAATCAAATAGAGGGGAAGGCAGTGCCTCTGCCTAAAATAGTCTCTTTCAGTCTTGAAATCCTGGGAGTTAATTTTCTTGTTTAATTAAGCTCTCAAGGCCATATGTTAGTTAACAAGAGGATGGAGGGGAAAGGATGTAGGATTGATTCCATGGAGACAGGAGGAAGGATTGAACTGGAAAGTGGATTAGAGAAACAATTGGGAGAAATGAAGACAGAGAAAGAAAAACAATATTTTGATAA